AAATACATTACGATTTTTAGATTGTCCCATCAACCCAGAAAGTTTAGAAGCATCTTGTCTGCTTTTATATAACCAAAAAGACCTTTCTGATCAGGGTTTTGACTACAAAGTTTCACATTCTTCTTTGGACCACAATTGTTGATATGTTGCACAAACTCTCTGATTACAGAGAGATGCAGATTCTCAGACATTTATAAAAATTCAACTAGCTTCTGAGGAAGAGAAAATGTTCTGTTTCTCTGAAGTGCCACTTGTATTTATCTTGTACAGACCCAACTGATTATCAACTTTACAACAATTCTAATGATGGTGACTTCTACTGTTATTTATTAATTTATTTTCCCCTCTAGACAAGCATATAGTATGTTACAAAAGGAAGACATACTAAAATAATATCATTAACACATGAAAATAAGGACTGATTCATTTATTTATAAGAACATAAGACAAGCCATGCAAGAGCAGACCACTGCCCATCTAATCCAGCACTCCACACATATATTTATGATTTACTTATTGCTTTTCTTTACTGCCCCCTAGCAAGACCCCTTCCTGCACAAGCTCCTCAGCATCTGGTGTATGCAAGCATGCTACCTCTGGTAAAGAAGGCAGCACAGCAGTAGCCACTGATAGCCTCCTCTCTTACTAATCTGTCCCAATGCCTTTTAAAGCCATCCAAATTGGTGGCAGCAAATTCCATAGTTTAACTATACACTTTGTGAAAAAGTACTTCCTTTTATCTGTCCTCAGCCTTTCACCAATCAGCTTCATGGGATGGCCCCAGGTTCAAGTTGTGGCAGAGGGAGAAAAATGTCTCCCATACCATGCATTATTTTAACCACTTCTATTGTCTGCTCTGTGATTACACACTGGCCTGATTTGCATGGTCTCCCGAGGCTTAAACAAGCCTCACCAACAAACCATAGTGGCTCGTTTAAACTGCAGCACATGCCACCATGTTGTCCAAACCCAGGTAGCATGGCTTGTTGGAGGTGGAAACAACACTCATCTCATGGGTTATTTGAGGGTTGTTTCCCATTCCAAAAAGTCATATTGTTCAGGATTTAGACAATACAACAAGCCATGCCCAAGTGAGTAAGTGCTGCAACACACACTGAAACATAAACAAGCCACTGTGGTTTGTTTAACCCATGATGATCATGTGAACTGGGTCACTGTCTGATGCATCCAAGTCATCCAAAAGCAGTGTATTTAAGGGGAAATGCCAGTCTCATCTGTGATGTTCATTATCTGACAACTTATTCACACAATGCTTGATGTCGCTATAACCATCAGGTAGCACACATGCACCTGAAGCAGTTCACACTGACCCGGGATTAAGCTCCACTAACACCAAATGATATATTCTTTCATGGACTGGATTAAAGAAGGCTGTGAATCAAGATCCATTATGTATAGCATGGTTCTGGTCTTCCTGGATTCATAAAGTCAACCCAAATTCTCTGTACACACGTTTGTGTGCTTGCATGCATCTACATATGCACATTCTCACACACATTTTTTCATGCAAACACCACTTGTATAAATAAACAACTGAGGCTTCATTCACACGTCCTCCAATGCAATCATACTCTACTGCTTGACAGAGTGTAACACTGCATGCAGATCAAGCATTCTGCATATGCATGTAGTACAGATACCCTGATCCATCTACCTTCAAGTAGGGGTGGGGGGTGGAAGAATTATGGGAACTCGGTGTATGTGCACACTGACTAATAGACAATAATAATAATAATATTTCATGTCTATATCACCCCATAGCAGAAGCTCTCTGGGTGGTTTTCACGGTCCATTATGTGCAGTTCTCCTTTTAACCAGCTTATTGGGTCCCTGTGCAAATGAAGAATTATCTTGGTACCAACTCTATGTGTAGTATGAGATTCTGGATTGGAAATTCCCAAGCTTTACCAAGGTTTTCCATGCATTGAATTTTGCCGTTGTCCAACACCAAGTTGTAAAGTCTCACACATAATTTTTAGCCTTTTATGTTGCCAAAGCTCTTTGCAAGACTCTTCCAAAACCACTATTTGGTAATCGGCATTCTTCATGGGCCATTTGGACAATCATGAGGTCCTAAGCAAACACAGTTCATATTGCAAAAATCAAGATGAGTCAAGCTATCATTTGTACCACTTCATATTCAAAGGGTGTGTCCCTTCAGGCTCAGCAAGAATCCTTTCTTGTTTAGATCAAATTGCGCAGTAGGATGGAGGGCTCCTTTCAGAGCTCTCTCTGTTCTGAAGTTCAATTTGGATTTGGTCTGGATTCACAGGCATCCAATCTGTACATGTGGTGGTTTCACAGGCACACGTGACACTGGCTAAAAACAGATACAGAGAGACTAGTACCTATAATTATATATTTTAAATAGAATGCTTGCCCCTGAAGTGTTCTGCTCAAATCCAGCCAGTGTATTCAGAACCATGGCCAACAAAGAGAACTCCCCATTGGCCGAGGGTGTCCCATTAAAAAGGCTCAGCCAACCGCAAGCGGAAAAGTGACAAGTTTTGCCTCATTTGCATAAACCCATCCACATGTGCGCACCGAAAGACTGGCAACCCAGACTCCACTCATTAGAAAGAGCAGCAAATGAGGATTTACCAGGGAACCTTTCTTAGGTCATTAAGATCACAATCCACAGCCAACTTAATGCAGAGCTCTCCCACTGGTCTGAACAGGATGTCTCTGGAGTAGACTGCCGCTCGAAGAAGAAAAGAACCCCAGCAAGCCGCTCGAAAGCTGGCTCGTAAAGCATCTTAAATGCTTTCTCTGTATGTTCCCTGTTCCACCAGGACCTGCCCATCCACAGCAGCTGCCTCAGTATCACAATTAGTGAAAGGCCTTCTAAGCCCCCTCATTTGTTATTTGCTATGGTCTGTGGCCTGTTGCACTTCACATGCCCAAGCCTGAATGAGTTTTGGAACTACAGGGGACGACAACTAAAGGGAAGCCCTAAAGATGCACTTCTGAGCAAAGACAACAAACTGAATTACGATAAGAAGTAACTATTACTTAGCCACCACAACAAACATCTCTGCGCTACTTCTTGCATCTTTTCTCAAGATAACACTGCTTGCAATAAATCAAGTTGTGATAAACAGCACCACAATTACATATGTAATTAAGAACCTTCTTTTTACAGCTAGCTCTCAAGACTCCTTGATATGGAACACCTCTCTTTAACCATATTTAAACCATAGTTTTTTCATAGCATTTTTTCTCACACCACTGCAACTCTGGGAAGTACATTCTCCTAACCTTCACATTCAATCCATAAAGCAGATTATATGTTCTTTTTGCATATTGTTAAAACACAAGTCAGAAACGTACTGCTAGTCCCCACCTTTATTTTCAACTGCACAATAAATCAGAAGCATTAAAGGGTAATTAATGGAACCCACACTCATGATTTTCTAACCTCCGGGCTCTAACCCCGTTATACACACAAGAAGTGTAAAGAACAGCCAAATCAATTACTTTCTCAATCTCTTCCAATCTATGCCTGTTAGTAAAGTGTCCCAGCAAGGATTCTAGTTCATGTTAGTGGTCAAAACAATGGCACTTAATTGGTCATCGGTGCTGCTAATTATTTAATATCACCTTTCGATGTGCCACAGTTGCTGACTTAAATGCCCATTCTGCATACCTTAGAAGTGAACTGGAGGCAGTAGACAGTCAAATGTTTGACCCTTAAGAAAGCATCCTATAAACACCTGTGGCTATCCTATAAACACCTGTCCTTAAGCAACGGCATATATTTGGAGATCATTCAGTGCTTACTAGTTACCCATTAAGCTTGTAGCTCTTAAACACTGTGGGCAGTCCCCACTCTTGAAAGGGTACAGAATGCCTGGAAGGCACCGTGCAAAGGAAAGGATGGGGCTATGCATACCTCAGTGCAACAGAGCAGATGCTTTGCATTTCAGAAGGCCCCGGGTTTGATTCCCAGCATCTCCAGGCTGGGCTGGAAAATGTTCTTTCCAACACCCTGAAAAGCTATTGCTGCCAGTCAGTGTTAACAATACTGGGGTAAATGGACTACTGGTCTAGCCAAGTACAAAGCAGCTTCGGATGGTCCTGTGTACTAGGGAGGGATAAGATCTAGAGGCCACTGGATCCACCCTTTCACTATTTAAGATATCTGGTGAGTTGAAGCCCCCTAGGTGATAAACCACACTAATTCACAAGTGCTGTTGTGGAGGGAAGTGCGTTCCCTTTGCCCAGCCACCTCCGCCAGAGGGAAAGAGCCTCTGCTTTGACCTAAGGGTGCTTCTCCAAAAGGGGCTCTAGGGCGGGCTCTGAAAATCCACCCTAGCAGTTCCCCTTTTGAACGCCAGTATTAAGCAGGGGCCCCAATCCACAGATGCTGGCACACAGCAGCCACAGACAACACGCGCAAGCCAAGGATCTGGCCACGTTCTTCTGTCCGGATGGTCGGTGCTAGGAGAGGCAAGCACTGAAGATAAAACAAACGTAGAACCAGAAAGCGGGGGAGAAATCAAAACATTTGAGAAAGTCTGCAGTCAAACCCACTGCCTCTTTCCCACAACCAGAAGGTTTAAAAAGTGGGTAGCTGATTCTAAAGCTCCATTGGCTCATCTGGGTGAAGGAGTGGACGCGAATGCCAACTCTGAACCTGATGGGTGCCCATCAAAAAGGGGACTGCTGTGGGGCCAGCGATGGATCTGAAAGGGGCCGTGGGGACACGTCCTCTGGGGGCCCCACCACGCCGGGCCATTTTAATGTCCCACAATGCCCCCGAGTGGCGCTACCCCGGGGGCTGCGCCACGCAGCCGGGAGGCCGGGAGTGATGCCCGTGTCGGAGCCGAGCCCGGGGCGGTGTGGCCTGGCGCGGAGGGCGGCAGCCGCCACATCCCGGAGGCTTCCTGCGGGCGTCCCGCGCGCCAGCCGGGAGTGCCCCTTCTCCGAGCAAGCCCCTGCGCCCAGCCGCCTCCCGCCAGCACGCCAGAGCGCCTCACCCATGTTCACGAAGCTCATGACCATGTCCGCCTCGGTGAGAAAGTTGCTGTCCTGCAGGCTGGCCAGCGGCGGCCCCTGGGTGCTGAAGATGGGCTTGTAGGGGTAGGAGTAGCCCTCCTCGCCGCCGCCCTCCTCCTCCACCGACATGGCATTGTAGAGGTCCAGCATGAACATGGGCGCGGAGTTGTGCTTGCCGTGCAGATGCGGCCTCGGCCGGTGAGGCAAGCCCAGGATGGACAGGATCTCGCGCTGCATCTCCCGGCGCTCCTGGCTCCGGAGCCGCCTGTGGATGAAGCTCGAGTGCACCTCGTTCTCCAGGGTGAAATCCGCCAGGGCGCGCCGGGGCTGCGGCGCCCAGACCAGCAGGATCCAGAGGAGCCGGGAAGCAGCCGCCAGCCGCTGGAACCACCCCGGCGCGTGCATCTCCGTCACGGGGGGCAGACCACGGGGGCCGGCGGGCCGGGCGGCGGCAGGAGCGGCGGCCGGGCGAAAGGGCTGACCATTAAAAGGAAGCGGGCAGCTGCGCGCCCCGCGGAGGGATCACTTGGCCGGGGCGCTGCCGTGAGGAGCCGACCTCGAGGCGCGCATGATAGCCGAGGCGACCGCGGCGGCGGGGGGCGGGAGGGGCGGCTAGTTTGCAAAATCCATGCAGGGCGCAGGAGACGAGGAAATGCGAGAGGGCGATCGCCCTGCCTAGCCGCCGCCGCCGCTTCCCCCGGGATATTCTTGCTCGCTGGCTCGCTCGCTCGCTCGGTGCTCCTTTCGCCACAAGTCAAGGAAATTTTGAAATGCAGCTTGCTTTTCTGTTTGTTTTGTTGCAAAGCAGGCGGCAGCGGGAGTTCGTCTCTCAAGGGGCGGAGCTCCGCATTTCTCACTCCCTGTCACAAAAATATCTTCAAGCTCCTTCCTGGCCGTCCGGGTGGCTCGAACGTGCGATCGCTCGCTTGACCGGGCGGCGAGTGCGCGGGGGGGGCGCCCGAAGGGGGCTCGCTCGCTCCTTCACACGCGCGGGAAGCGAGCTCGGGGTGTCCTGCCAGCGCCACAGCAACGCGCGGGGCTCGAGCGTGGACTGCCTTCTCCCCATAGGGGGAAGGGGGAAAGAAAGCGATACACTTGTTTTACGTACGCGTCGTGCGGCTCGTCCTGGGCGTGTTTCCACGGACGTCCGCCCTCCGGCTCTCTCCGATGGAGCTTGTTCCCAGGTAAGCGCGTTGGGAGGGAATCGAGGCGCTGTGTGACTTCGCTTTGGATCGTCTCCGGGCATGCGGCGCTGCCGCGCCTGGGCAAAGAAGATCTTCGGAAATCTGGTCCGGGGTGTATTTGTTTCTCATGTCCAACTAGACACACTTTGAGAAGCAAGGACCAAGTTTTTCTGTAGTTGAGCGTGTGGAGTTCGCTTGGAAGCCAAGCCATTCCTTGAGAAGCAATACATTGGGGGTCTTAGGAAATACAGATGAATTCTGTTTCCTTTCAGACCGCATAAGCTCACACTAATGCTGAATCAAAGCCTTTACACTTCCCTTCCTTGCAAGGAATCCTGCTTCTTTTCTCTCTAACGTTTCATTTCTAACGTTTCCTTCCTTCCTTCTTCCTTCCTTCCTTTTATTCTCTCTCTCTCTCTCTCTCTCTCTCTCTCATTATTTTCATATTCCCTCGAGATTTTCTTTTCTCTGAATTGGAAAAGGATCTGACAAGACCCTGTTCAACCAGAAAAGAGTTGATTCAAATGAACCATATTGGAATAGAAGGATTCGCTTCTTTTGACAAGGAGGTGTTGCATTTATATGCTTCTTTTATCAGACATGTAACTGATGAAGTGACTGACATTTCCTCCCAAATTTTGAAAACTTCCTACATGTCTGCAAAAAGTTAGGAACCAGTTACCAAATAAAGCGGACAGCCTAACATGGTTCAGATGGTAGGTAGATTCCAAACAAAAACAACTCATCTCATAGGAACACTTGTCCTGGATTACTACCAGTATTCTAGCGGTATACCACTGCTACTACCTATAGGGGGCAGATCATATGACTGGAATGCTCCCTGCTTCCTCTATTTTTTAATCTTCCTCTGTGTAAAAACTCTTTTTCCTGGGCAGACTTAGTGGAGTCCTCTACTGAGCATGGGGCTGAACCCGATGACCTTCTTGCCCCCTTCCAACTCTACTGTTCATAATTCTATGATTAAGGGCTTCATAAAAACATTCTGGCAGGCTTCTTATGTCCAGGTGAAGAAATCCAAGAGGGTACTGAAGAAAACCCAAAAGCTGCATCAGTGTAATAGATGATGAACAAAAGCTCACCAAAAAATGTGCAAGCTCTTGGGATCTCCAGATTTCTGCATCAGGCATATTACAGCCTATTACCCCTGGCCTGAAAGCCCTGCACTGGTTGTCAGGTTCCCACCCCCATATCCAATTCAAGGTGTTAACCATTAATCAGCTTTTAACCTGCCTATCCACATAATCTAATATGACTCAGCCCAGCTCTTAAGATCTGTAGGAGAAGCTCTTTTGAGGGTACCATCATCCCCAGAAAGTCATTTCTCAAACACACCTAAAAGGGCTTCTTCCTGTGTTGTCCCCAACTTGCAACATGAGCTCCCTGTAGAATTATAATTGGCCCCAGTTTATTAGCCTTTAGAAAGGTGTCAAAGATGCATCCTTTCAATTTAGCCTCTTCAAATGTTTAATTATTCATAATTTAATGTTTTAGGGGACACACCCAATATTGTTTGGAATGCATAGGACAGGTGGAAGTCCCAGCTGTGACCTTGGAAAAAGTCTGAGAACAGCACTGGGACTTCAGCTGCAGAAGGCCCTCCCTCTGCCCTCCCGGCCAACCATGGTTCATTCTATGCTGCCCAGCTCCAAAGATGGAAGACCATCTGCAAAGCCAGAGTGGAAGGCATTCAGGGACACATGGAGGGGAGAAGCAGGGCACTTCCATCCTCTGAAGAATCCTTGGCCATGCCGCTGCCTCTCCTCCTCATGAGGAGGGGGAAAACAATTGGACAGCTGAAATGGCCATCTAAATGTTTTGGAAGATGGGAGGCACACAGAGGCCATCTAGCCTCTACGTTCCGCCTGTGTTGCACTGGATGCCAATAATCCTCCCAGTTCAGGAGACTGTGGGAAGCAACATTGGATGGGGCCCTTAGTGTTCTCCGTGCTTTTATTGCTGCAGAGGTTTACTGTTTTAAATTGTTGGATGCTCCCAATGGCTTGGTGCAAATAAGGCAATACATAAATGTTGAAAGTAAACAAACATTAGAACCAGATGAGAGAGTTCTTGCCCTCCATACAGGTCTGATTCGAGCGCAGTTTCAAGAAGATTCTGTATGGAAGTGTAATCATAGGACTGCTGAAGGTTACTTATGCTCACTGGAAAAAAAGAAAGGTGACTACTGAAACAGAGCCAGCTTGTGGGTTGATGAGAGGTGATTGAAATAATTAACGTCGTGCAATAGCTTGATACGATCGTCGTTCGCTTACACTGCAGCGCAATCTTAACAGTGCTCGATCTGGCCCACCCCACCCATGTGTGCCTGTTGCATCTTGCCTTGAGTTTGACTGTAGACAAACTGGTGATCCAACACTTTATGCTAAACTGCTATAATCTTGCCTCACAGATAGAGGACCTGATTCCGACTGCCACAATACATGAACATTCCTTGGAGACTTTTAAAGAGGTAAGGCAGGTTTCTGGCTAGCACAAGCTACATGGCCTTGAGTGCCAACTGGGGGCAGGGGGAGAAAGGCAGGATATAAGTACATCAACAAAATAATGTTTCTGTGCTACGATTTCAGAATTCTGGCTGTTTGCCCCCTTGATGGGAGGCACTTGAAGTGCTCCAGTTTGGCCTAGAGAGGCGGATCGTTCTTCTAAGAATGTAGCAACACATTCTAAAAAATGCACTGTTGCCTCCAACCTTTCCATAGTCCAGCTGCCCTCTTCCCTTGCAGTTAGGTGCAATCCAGACCCTGAGGAAAGGAAGGGCATGCTCTCCCGATCAAACATACAGCACAGAGAGGTTGACCGTCTCTCAACCTGAGGGTTAGGTGCCGCTTTGGAGAAGCTCCCGGGGGTGCATTCCAGTGGTTTTTGCTTAAAGCTTTTATTGCCAATAATTAAACTTTACAAGGGGCATTTCAAACTTTTAGGAAAACATGTAAAAGCCAGGAAACCACCCAATGATGAGGAGAAGGGTGTGACTTCTCTAAGGAGTCCCAGAAGGTCTGAAGGGGAGCCCAGGCAGGCTAGATACAGCCCACAGATCTGAAGTTCTGAAGCACTGATACAAAGCTAGGTAGACAATTTCACTAAAGCGTTTCTGAGCCTTATTCTCATGGTTGGTATAGACATGTGAAAGTTTTAAAAATGATTTCATCAGAAATTTAAATATTTGGCTATGTAGTAACATACCACGACAAGTTGCCTATCTTTCAGCTATGTTCTATCGAAAGTACATCTTTGGACTTCCAGCACCTACCATTTTTTTCACAGAGTAGTGCATATTTCGGAATGCTTTCCTCTCACCTGCCCTGTGGAAGGGTTACTATTAAGAGTTGCAAATATGGTTCCCTTAGCTATTACCCCCTTCCTCTTTGTATGTGACTGTGGATATCCGTTGCACTGCCATTTCCTTTGCTGTCCCCTGTCCCCCCCCCCCCCCATGCATGGCACTATACCTGTTCTTTGGAAGAGGGGAGGGAAGCTGGTGACATGCTGAAGGTCTTCCCACAATTTTGCCAGCTCTGCTACAGGCTGAAGCCAGAAAGGAGTGAATTAGACCAGGCTTTTACCCAAACATGTCCGTTTCACTGGTAACCAGAGCCTCAAGAATGTGATGAGGACAAAAGATAAATACAGAGGGGAATTACGCACTTCAGACTGTCATGAAGCATGTTGTGATGGGATTGCTCACAAGTGTAGCCACATATCAGTCTGAGGCAGCATTTGTGGGGAGGGAAGTGTGACAGCAGTTGAAGGGGGACTGTTGTCACACTTCCCTCCCCACAAATGCTGAGTAGGAATGAAGTACATTCGCGGAAGTGTGAGAAGATTCACAGTGATCATTGCAACAACTGAAAATGCCCAAGTGATTTCAGTCCTAGTATATGCAAACAACAACAGATCAGGCAATAATTTTTTTCCTGGATTGTACCACTTCAGTCTGCAGAGGGGGAGAGTACATGATAGAATTCTCCATATTTTTAAAAAATGAACCTTCTAGCACATTGAAATGTCAGAGACAAGCAGTATGAGTTTTCTCCCTGACATTCTAGTTGTGTAAGCAAAAGTGTTTTATTTTGCATTGGAGCTTTGAAA